CACCCCCCCCCCCCCCAAAAAAAAGTACAATAGAGATGAAAAAATTCACATTGCAAAAATGTATCTCCAAAGTAAAAGATACGTTGAGATATTTTTCAGAAAGAAGATTTCCAAAAACTGAAATCTAAATGGATAAGTATCTTACAGAACCATGCCAATCACCACGGTGAACAGTACCAAAAGACCCTGAAAATAGACAAACTGTGTTAGCTAAATCAAATGAGAATGTTATGGTACTATAGAATCCCAATATAATGTGTCCCCTCAAGGGATAAAAAACATCAGAACATAACTGACAATTAACCAAGCAACCACAGCTCACACTATTCAGATGGCTAAAATCCAGGAGACATAGATTACCTGCCCCGATTTTCTCCATCAGAACCAGATCATTCCATGGAATATTGAACTCTTCTACATCGAGAGCAAGTTCTTCACTTGGTATAGCAGAAACGACATGACCTCCTCCAGCAAGAAACCTAGTATCTTTTACTGTATCTGCTCGTGTCATCAATGGTTGAGCATCTTCCTGTAATGGAGGGACATGCTTCAAAAGAACCAGGTCCTTGTCCATGTTCACTGGATTTAACATACTTGGAGGATTATACATTTTAGAAAGTTGAGATTCTTTGTCTCGTCCCTTTTTCCATGCATTTAATGGAGGCAGAGGTAACTGAGAAATTTCATCACGATTACTTGAACTAGAGACTGCATTGTTTCTGTCCATGCTACTTCTGTCTGATTGTCCTGCATCTCCATCAGCTGCAGCTCCTGCATCAAATACTAATCATTATGAATCCCTGAAACAGGACTAGATGGATCTAGTATTCACTAACAAAACTGAAGAGAAATCGTCCAAAAACAAAATAGTAGTAATATTTATTTGCACAAGTTAAAAAAAAAGATTTCATACTTTCTTGTACTTACTTTCCTAGATAAAGGTCAAGGTAGAGCACTAGTGTGATTAATTTGCCTTTGCATACTAAAACTTTAGGTTGTCCCAGAAAAAAAGAAGGAAGATGTGAAGTATGTAAATATACATGTATATATGCTGATGCATTTCCAAATGTTGATCGAATTCTCTACAAACAAAACTCAACACTCAGTAGATAGGACTTGTGGAGGTGGGAAGCAAGGATAGATGGAGTTTTTCCATTTAAAATCATACTACCACAAGCTTTTGATGAGGAAGGATGGGCTTCCTGCATGTATTAGTTTGGATTCCTAGCACACGTAAAAAGGTGTGCTTCGCTTGGTTGGCAGCAAGGGAGCAGTTCTGACCTCTGGAAACTTGAGGAAGAAGAGGATCACATATGTTAGCTAGTGCTTTATGTGCAGATGTTCAAGAGAAAATGTGGACCACCTCTTATTGCATTGTCAGGTAGATGCACGATTATGGGTTGTCTGGAACTAGCTCGAGGTGTACCTTTCAATATGTTAAAGATGAACATAGTATGTTAGAGTTCATAGATTCACTACAGGAATAGATGCTTATTCTGGTGAGAACCTTCTTTTTGTTTTTGTACAGAAGGGTTTCACACTTCGTAATTATCCAGGCACCGGCTTAGTACCAGGTTTCTAATTTTATTCTATAATATACACCACTTTACCTGTTCCAAAAAAAAAAAAAACTTGAAACTCTGGATTGCCAATGTAATCAATTGTGTTTTAAGACATTACAGTGTTGAATAAAGTTATAAGCAAGCTGAAAGTATACTCCATTCAAGTAAGACAAATAACTACACATACTACCAAACTTTTCAGGAGATTCTAAAAAGTTCGACAGATTATCAGATTCCAAATACTTTTGAACCAAAATAAAAGGAAACTTGGGACAAGGGAGTATTTTGGTGGAATGCAGCATGCTAGACTGAAGCAATTTTAAAATTGTGTATGAACCTGAATATCTCTCAACATATCATGGCAAAGGCCAAGTAAGATGTTGGGAAAGGACAATTCAAAACAAACACCAACGATGCATTTTTTAAGCAGTTAAAGAGTTAGATAATCACCAGCTGAAGAATCATCAAACAGTAGATTAAGTGATTGACTATCCAAGAAATACTGTTTGGCCAATGACCTCAAATCAATTGTAGGCTCAACTTGTCTGTATCTCGGAAAGCGCAAAGGTGAAGGGATTAAGATGGAAGATGGACCATTCAGCAAGGAATCTGGTTCGCTTAATACTCCAGGCTTACCGATCAAATCAACCAGGTACTCCCTGTATGGTCAAGAGTTACATGTCAATACTAGCACTCCTTCCTAATATGAGGCTAACCAGGTAGCACACAAATGTTTAGCATATTTTAAGACTATATATGTCTATCATGTAAACTGAATCCAGCAGAAAAGCTCAACAGATGAAGATAACAGACATATCCAGTTACTAATCTAATTCCAACTTAAAGTAGCACTGTAGCAGTGAGAAAAATATTTTCCTGTTATTCACTACACCATCTGCTTTGGATATCTGATTCTACTTGCTTCTAGTACTTTGGTTCTTCTTATCTGCATTTGGGGCTGCACGGAAGAAGAGAAGGATCTTCTTTGCATTGGAATTTGGATCATGATTTAGAATCTGAGTGATTAAGACCGTATGACAAATTAAGGTACATTCCCTATCTCATCAACAGTGGATCAGTTTTTTCAAGATACTTTTAAAAAATTCAATCTCTGCATATTAGTAAGAACTACCATTCCACTCAAATATCTTAATTTCAAATTTCTAAGAATGCTGCAGCAGGTACTAAGAGAAGCAAACTTCTGCTAGCGACTGAATCTCTAAAGATATATTTTATCACATCAGAAAGGTCACATATTAGTTATTACAATAAGAAATTTTGCCATAGTCATTTTCAGTATATATATTGAACGGCTTTTTTTGAAAAATAAATCATATTTTGAATTTCTTGTTCTTCACCAGCTTTACGAAACCAAAGAAAACATTCAAAAAAAGAAAAATTGGAAGTTGTGCATAGCATAAATAAAATACCAGGTGAAAGAAGGCAGAAAGCATATATACAATGTTATCAGCAGACACATAATAGCAGTAGGAAAGTAAATCTTGATCATTTCATACAATATATATGAGGGGTATCAGTTTTCCAAATAAAAGTAAGTGGTAGCATCAATTACCATCCGTTTAAGGACTCAACACACCATCCCCAAAACTATACTTATCTAGGACAAAGGTATCCAAAAGGTGAAGTATTCTTTCCCACTTTATATCCTAGTAAGATTTCTTTTCAAATGAACCAAAGATTATAATACACATCATATGTAATCTGAACGTTTACCTGTCACGTTCAAATTGAACAAGACATGAGGAAGCATCAGAGCTATTACAATATTTACATCCCTTGGCAATTCGACATGGTAAATCAATGATGTCAGCTAGCACCTGTAATGATTACATAGATGTTAATGATAAAACATTAACCTTGTACACGACATCCAAGCTAAGACACTATGGATTGCAAACAATATTCACTCTAAGCGCAGAATAAATAGAAAATAAATACAATATCAGTAAGGTTTCTATTTAGTGATAAATACACCATTAGTCTGATTTTTATCCTTAATTTTTCCTTTACAAATTAGATATACTGACTTATACCAGAACCAACTAAACAGGTACATACTTTAAAAAGCAAAGCACGATGCCTGCAAAGCCCAACAGACAGGCTACCAATGGGAAGCACGATAGTTCCAAGACGATGCTTCAGGTCATCACTGCACCCCTTTGACATGGAAACCAACTCCTCTTCTCCAGCAGGAGCTGCACCCCTTTATAGAGAGAATAAAGCTAATTACAAAAAGAAAAAGGAAAAAGGTGGGTCTGTTGGAGCTTCTAAGAAAAAGCTTTCAGTACTCACCCCATATGATCGCAAACCAACTTGGCAAGCTGATCAACAGCTTCTTTTGTGGTGATGCAACTAGGGGATATGCTATGAATTCTATTCTGCAGTTCCTTCAAGCTGAGATCATTACACTGATCAATTAAAATCACTTCAACAGATGGTGCTTTAGAGGGATCAACTGCCTTCAATGATTCAATTGATGGGATACGGCCACTTTCTTGCAGAACTGAGCAGAGAGCCCAAACATATGGGTCCATCCCATAAATCCAATAAAATCCATCAGGGACTTTGTCAAAGTACGACATACATCCATTTATCTGGCATAAAATAAAGAGACCAGAGCACTTTATCAAAAAAAAAAAACTTTATCAAAATAAAGAGACCAGAGCAAAAAAATGACATTAGGAATGATGACCTGGAAAATCTGGAGACTGTCTCAACTCTCAATTGAGAATGAGAAGAGATCTGTAAGATCATAAAATGATAAAACACAATAGAAAGGCAACATCTAGTCAATGGGTGAGTATGACTACATTCCAAAAATCATCAAGGTAGTATGAAGTAGCTCCTATTCCCACAAAACATGAAATTAATAGAAGAATATGTGATCAAACTTCTTTTTTTATCATATCATTTTCTAGGGTCTTGCAGAAACAAGGAAGAAGCTTGTCAGTGCCGAGATCACATTTTGACTACGAGAAAGGCTTAAAACTTTTGAGGTAGTGTAAACAGCTCAGCCTCATTGTATTTGACAACAACGAAAGGAGAAATAGGAAAGTAGAAAGAAGAATAGGGGTGATCGAGATTAGCACTTAAAAAAGTTTGACTCACTCCATTCCCCTACGGCCCTACCCAAGAGGCAAGAGCCCATCAGTTGTCCATTCCCACTTCGCTCCTTTAGTGACTTGACCCCCAACCTTAAGGGATGGGGTCTGACAACTGAGAATTTATGGAAGAGCAGAATTCCATGTGTTTGGCTAGTTGTAAATAGCCCCAGGACTATAGGACTATGGAACATGTGATTAATATTTCTATTCAGCGGACAAGGTTATTGGCAAGAAATTATTGAATCCATCGGTTGGGCTCATAATTAATAAAAAGTTGCTCCTGCTACTCAGCCGAGAGCCTTGAGCATTATACAAGGACTTGTTGTAGGAGTAACCCATTACCTACTGGGTGGAATTGCCACAACATGCGCATTTTTCTTAGCAAGAATTATTGTAGTAGGATAAGGGCTAGGAGGATTTGAAAAAAAATTATGGCACTACGATTCGTAAAATAAGCTTTTTATTTTGTGGAGTTTCATGTGTAAAAGATCGGCAAGACATGAATCACTTTCTTTCATATCGTCAAATAACTCCCCCTTTTGGTGGAAAATACTGTGTTGATTTGGTCTTCAATGGGTGATGTCAATTGTCAGGCATTGTCAAAGAAGCATTGTTTAGCTGGACCTTTATAAGACGGAAGAGAAGACGAAAGGTATGGATTGTTGCTCCACTTACTCTTATGTGGACGGTATAAAGAGAGAAATAGGAGAGCATTTGATAGAGTAGAGAAGAACTTTGTTCACTTGATAATAGTCCTTATCCCTTATTTCATGCACCCACGAGGTCCTTGTTATATTTTTGTAAGGTTCTACTTTTGGTATACTTCTTGTATATTGGTATTTTTGTCCATTATTAATAAAAATTTATTACAACAACAACAAACCCAGTGAAATACCACAAGTGAGGTTTGGGAGGTTAGAGTGTATGCAAATCTTACTCATACCTCATAGGGGCAGAGAGGTTGTTTCAGGAGGAGACTCAACTAGAGTACAACAAATTAAAGTAGGAAAAGGAAAAGCACTGAAGAAAATTCTCAAAAAAAAAAAGCACTGAAGAAACCATAGCAACTAATAAGGAATCATTAACAATAACAAAATAGTGCGATAACAGAAACCCAATAAATAATAGATGATGCTAGAAATCAAAATCAAGACTCTACAAGAATAATTAATAAAATTTTATCATGATAAAAAAAGGATGGGTCTGGTTGTAACACAATGAATATACTTTGGGTCTAACTCACCCCAAAAGCTAGTTTATGATGTGACAATTGTCCAAAACCATATAGAGAGACTTTAATATAAAATACTCAATCAACGTGGGACTCTAACAAAGGATCCACCAATCACAATATATAATAATTATGCGTGTATTTGCATTTGAAAAGCACATTCATTCCTCACTTAATCGCCTACTTTATGCATGGAGACATTTATAGTCTAAACCAAATCCTAAACTGAGTTATTTTGTTGTCCTGCATAGGTTGTCTAAGAATTTCTTAAAGAGTTTAAAAAGGTCCCAGATAATTCCACTTAATGTCAAAAAAATTTAGGTTGGATGATCAATTTTTTGATATGACATATCAGAGCCAACATTTGGAACGCCCATCCTAACACCCATATGACCATATTGTAGATCATGTGTGGGATTATATATAGTCATTAGTTGTTCTACGTGATTATAAAGGTGTTGACCATTTCACCTATTACCTTAAGTTTTGGGTTGGAAACTCAAAGCCTCTCACAATCCACCACTTAATCAGCTAAGACATTGTAATCAGATGTGGATCCAGGATTGAACTTTATGAGTTTGAGTTCACAATTATATCGATTGAGTAAGTTCAAAGTCTACTATTTGTACTTATAAAATGAATTTTTAAAGCATACACCAGTTTGAACCAACTAGCTTCTACACTACACCCTTCAATGTTGGTAAAGTTGAAAATCATTGCTAAACAATTACTCTTAATTCTCTCTTTTACCAATATGAAATGATCAAAGGGTTCCTAAATCATACAAACGTCAAGCAATAAATGCCATACCCACAATCGATGTGACATTGTTTCCGCTGATGCAGTAGAATCTGAGTCTCGGGATGCCAATACATCAGTCACAGGATCCAAGAAGTTTGGACTATCAGCACAGGTTGCTTCTGAAGAGAGCCTTATTGCCAAAGCTAACTGCAGCTGATAACTCTCTTCCGTCTGCTGCGCCCAGCTCCTTGCCACCGACGAGCCGCAGCCGTCATTCTTATTCCCAAAGGAGGTCCCCACGTAGTTCTCCCCAGACAGCGAGCTACCACCGAAGCTACCCTCGCTTGATTGCCTCTGCGACCCGATCGAACTAGGTACCAGAAATGATCCGACCCGGTTCTGTGATTGTATCATGCGGTGATCAATCAAGTCCCAATCAAATACTTTACCTCTGTTCTTCTCGAGGGAATTAGACTCGCCGTACGGCGTTACACCAGCTCCGGCAGAGAACTTCGGCGCCGGCGGCTGGAAAAAATTATCATCAGGAATTTGATTCAACAAAGTATAACTCGATCGTCTACCAGACATTTCCCTGTATAAAATGTTCAATTACCAACTGCCATTACTCTGTAACTGTGCAATTTTCAGCTCAAACAACGCCTCTCTCTCTAACTTTTCTCACACTAAGAAAGAGGAAGGAGAAAATGGATGTATTTGTAATATTCTGAGAATTTTTGAGGTGTAAAAAAGTAAAGTAGAATTGTGGGCTTTACTTAATTAATTATAGCAAGTGGGGCTGTTTGGTCATGAGGCGGAAAGATGCATAGAATTCTGTGCGTGAAACGTGAAGGTTTCCGGCTTCTGACCTTTTACTTGTTTTTTCCTCTTCTGGTGAGCTGAACTTAACCCATGACTTTTAGCCTCTACGTAGACAAACGCATGCTCTACTACTCCATCTGCTTCATTTTACGTGACCTCGATAATAAAATGTATGGTATATATAAATAGATTTTTTAATTTAATCTCATTTATATTTATGTTCTTTAGTTTTGATAAAGCACAAGTAGACGTTTAAACTTATATAAAGTTGAACTAGTATACACATGAGTCATATATGTCATACTACATTTAGGGGTTGTTTGGTACAAAAATTAATAACGCAAGGATTAGTAATTCAGGGATTAGTAGTGCAGGAATTAGTAATGCAGAGTTTATTTTTATCAAGTGTTTGGTTCATTATTTCTCACCTCATCTTGTGTTTAGATTAAAACTTTATAAAAAGTTTCTTTCCAATTATACCCTTGAATTATTATGTAATTGGGTCAAGGTAGATAATTATCGGACAATATTATTATTTTATGGCCTTTCTAACTAGCTATGAGAAGAACAATTTTGTTGTCATGTTTGCTATATTTTCACTTGAATTATTTGAGGATAAATAATTGTCATCTTAATAAATTGATCACTCACAAAATGTCATTTTTAAAATTTTAAAAAATGAATCATCTACTTTTAAAATTGACAAGGCGATCAACAATGATAAAATTGAATAAATCATCTACATTTACACATAAAAATTGCAAGTTGTAATTTTATGTATGTAATTTTTAAAATTGTTCAAAATATAAATAATTAGAAAACCACACAAATATATATATATATATATATATATGTATACACACACATTCAATTAAGATCACAAACGTCATATACAAATAAACAACTCACCTTTCAAATTTGTATTTGATTTATTTAGTAACAAACAACTCTCTCTAAATAATTTGTAAGCTAATTTATTTAAATAAATTTACTAGTACAAATATAAATCATAAAATCAAGAAAATAAACAAAATAATTAAAATGATTTGAGGGATATTTTTGTCTTTACATAGACTTATCCCATGGTATTATATTCTATGTATTACTAATACCTCCAATTGGAAGGTATTATTAATACATCATATAATACCATGTAGGAGGTATAACTAATTCATGGATTAGTTATACATAGGCTCAAATTCCTACCAAACATAGTACTAAATAATACCTTACATAATACATGGACTATTTCTTCTAATGTGGCCTACCAAACGACCCCTTAAGACACAAATTGTCAAATAGGGTACTATGTAAGAGTGTGTCTATTTGTTCAACTTTATACAAATTTAAATGTTTAATTCTACACACCCAAAATTGAAGGGTATAAATATGAGTTAAGACCAAGTTAAACGGCATATTATTATTATTATTATTATTTGGGAAAAGGGTAAAAAAAATGTCTTTAAATTGTGTGAAATGAACAAAAATGTCCTTAATTATAGGTTGGCTCAAAAATGTTCTTGTCGTTAATACTTTGGTTCAAAAATGTACTTGCAGTCATTACTTTGGTCCAGAAATGCCCCTATATTTACTAACATGGTAAAAAAAATGTTATTTTCTGAATAAATATATTATTTCTTTTCTTTTTAAACACGTCTTCTTCCTAATTAAAATATTATTGAAGAACCCTATTCTTGGACAAGTAATTAGGAACAGATTGAGTAATTATATATTATCATGACAGTCACCGACCACTATTGATAATCACCATCATCTGTCACCACTATATGTCACTAACAATTGCTATTAGTCAGACTACCATTCCTATCAGTATCACTATCAATTATCATTATATGTTACCAACAATTGTTATTAGTCATACTATTATTATTATTACTACGATCCACCACATTCTCAATCCATCATCACCTCTCACATATAATCACTATTGTTAGATACGATTTATGTTGACCACAATCCACAATCATTACTGTTGCTCCCAATTGCACACGCAAGTGTACGTGGTCGCTCAAGTAATATAGTGGCTCTTAAAAGAATCAGATTATCGAACCCAAAGGACTTGTCAATTAACGATTTTTACTAAATTATATTGGTCTAATTATTTATTTAAGAGTATCAAAAGAAAAGAATGCAAGAACAAAATAATAAAATTATTTACAATAGTTGAAAAATCTCAGGGCTGCAGCATGTAATGAATCTCATGTATCATATTCTTGGCTTAGAACTAATTTTAGTTGTCTAGTGTTGGGTTTAGCAAGGTGTGAATGGGAAATAAAAAAGAGAAAATGGAAAGAGGAAAAACCAATGAAAGTGGGGGAACCAATTTTGGAAGGAAAATGAAAAGACATTGCAAATTGCAAATGAAAAGTCATTTTTACCATATTGGTAGAAGAAAGGAAATTGTTGTCCTTATATTAGGAAACACTTCCTTTAGTTCTTAAAGGGTTAAGAAGAAAGTGCCCCCTCGCGCCGTCGTCGTCGCTCGCTCGGCTTCGGCTTCGGCTTCGAATTTGGCAAATGATGTGACAAAATTTATTTAATCAATCTTGTTAATTCATTTCTTTTCTCTTATAAATTAATTCAGAATGTTAGTTAAATAACATAATTAATTTGGCGCAACGAAATTTATTTGAATTTCATATGCAACGGTAATAACGTTCTGAAGGGACCTATCCCTTCCGAAAAGTCGTTATTTTTCCCAAAAGACACAACGTTTTAGAAAAAATGGGTCTAAACATAATTGTCTGAATAGACGCATTCCTTGCTGTAAATGGCTATAAATAGATATGTTTTTTCTGGTTTTCAACACTGAAAATTTTTCCTCTCTGCATACATTTTCTTACATAAACAAAATTGTCGATCGACTGAATCTGTGTGTGCTCTTGTTGCTGTTCTTGCGTTCGCTGAAGTTATTGAAGTTTGAGGTACCGCTACTTCTTTAACAGGTTAATCCGTTTTATCTTGGGAAGAATTAATCTGCAACCTCGGGTACAGTGAGGGGATTAATTTTCTTAAGGAAACACAGTGGTTTTTGTGGACTCGGATTAAAATCATTCTGTCTATTTCATCTACTTTCTGTTTCTGTATTTTTGACTATCCTGAATACAGAAGATAACAATCTTAAGAAACAGAAAGTAGATGAAATAGACAGAATGATTTTAATCCGAGTCCACAGAAACCATTGTGTTTCCTTAAGAAATTAAATCCCATCACTGTACCCGAGGTTCCAGATTAATTCCTCCCAAGATAAAATGGATTAACCTGTTAAAGAAATAGCGGTACCTCAAACTTCAATAACTTCAGCGAATGCAAGAACAGCAACAAGAGCACACACAAACTCAGTTGATCGACAATTTTGTTTATGTAAGAAAATGTATGCAGAGAGGAAAAAATTTTAGTGTTGAAAACCGGAAAAAGCATTTCTATTTATAGCCATTTACAGCAGGAATGCGTCTGTTCAGACAATTCTGTTCAGACCCATTTTTTCTAGAACGTCGTGTCTTTTGGAGAAAATAACGACTTTTCGGAAGGGACAGGTCCCTTCAGAACGTTATTACCGTTGCATATGAAATTCAAATAAATTTCGTTGCGCCAAATTAATTATGTTATTTAACTAACATTCTGAATTAATTTATAAGAGAAAAGAAATGAATTAACAAGATTGATTAATATTATCAATCACATCATTTGCCAAATCCAAAAATCCAAATCCAAATTCGAAGTCGAGGCCGAGGCCGAGCGAGCGAGCGACGACGACGGCGCGAGGGGGCACCTTCTTCTTAACCCTTTAAGAACTAAAGGAAGTGTTTCCTAATATAAGGACAACAATTTCCTTTCTTCTACCAATATGGTAAAAATGATTTTTCATTTGCACTTTGCAATGTCTTTTCATTTTCCCTCCAAAATTGGTTCCCCCACTTTCATTGGTTCTTCCTCTTTCCATTTTCTCTTTTTTATTTCTCATTCACACCTTGCTAAACCCAACAGTCTCGGTTAATAAGTGGTTAGAGAACTGGCCTTATCGGATTCTCTTTGAAGCGGCTTACACTTCACACTTACATAGGTGGTTTCTAACTGTGTTATCCCGTAGATACACTATTTGATATACCCTGTATCAAACTTAGAAACCATTAAAAAGTCCTTATGCCTTTATCCTGGTTACTGAACATTGTCTCATCATGAGAATGGACCATAAAATAAGTTTTGACAATGTTGAACCGTCATCTATGACTTTGTTTGATCTTCTTGAACCTAGATCTTGGTATCTCCAGTCTTCTAGGTAGAGTTATCGTCATGATGACTTGTTCTCGGCCATAGTCCTATTCTCGTCGATGATCTCTCAACTCGCTCTCTAGTTAGGCCTTTTGTAAGTGGATCCGACACATTATCCTTTGACTTTACATAGTCAATTGTGATAATTCCACTAGAGAGTAGTTGTCTAACAGAGTTATGTCTTCGTCTTATGTGACGAGACTTTCCGTTATACATAACTCTTCCAGCCCTTCTTATTGCATCTTGGCTATCGCAGTGTATGCATATATGGGCCATTGGTTTGGGCCAAAATGGGATATCTTCTAAGAAATTCCGGAGCCATTCAGCTTCTTCACCTGCCTTGTCTAAGGCGATGAATTCTGACTCCATTGTAGAGCGAGCTATACATGTTTGTTTGGATGATTTCCAAGATATTGCTCCTCTACCAATAGTGAAAACATATCCACTCGTGGATTTGGTTTCAGTTGACCCAGTAATCCAATTTGCATCACTATATCCTTCAAGAACTGCTGGATATTTGTTGTAATGCAAAGCATAGTTTTGAGTGTCTTCTAAGTACCCCAAAACTCTCTTCATTGCCAACCAATGATTTTGATTGGGATTACTTGTGTATCGACTCAGTTTACTTATAGCGCAGGCTATGTCTGGTCGTGTACAATGCATGACATAGATCAAACTTCCCAATACTCTGGTGTAATCCAATTGAGACTGACTTTCACCTTTATTCTTAGCAAAATTAAGGTTCACATCAATTGGGGTCTTTGCCT